TGGGGTCTTGGGCTCGGACGCTCGGATGCTACCCCTTGCGATAGACGCAGCGTCGCTGGCCGTGGCCGACGCCAGCGCCTAGCGTGAGCGCCCTCTCGAAAACTCCCGCAAGGTTCTGGAGGCGTTGGCCGAGTCCGAGCGGGCCCCCGCCGAGCGCAAGGCCGAGCTCAAGGAGGCCAAGAAACAGACAGCGAGGCTCTACTCCGCCACCGCGGCCGAAGAGTCGCTTCGAACGGCCAAGGAGAAGGTTGCAGGCATCCCGCAGAGGGCAAATCGGGGGCAGAGGTCCTGGCCAGCCTCCCAGCGCTCTTCGACGAATTGGCAGCTGCAGCAGCACCTCCTCTAGTGCCAGAACCTCCGCGAGGTGGCAGTGGCTCTTCAGCCGCCGGGGCGGCAGCTGGGGCAGCTGGGGGCGCAGCTATGGGCGAGAGCGAAGACGACTTCGACAAGTTCATGGCAGATGAGGACACTGGTGGCCTCCTGGACAGCGCAGTGGACGAGAACGAAAAGAAGCGGCCCCAGGAGGCGCTCGACACCATCAGGACAGCCAAGCGCACCAAGACCGCAAGTGGGTAGCGGACGCGGCGCTTGGCTCGGTGGCAATCATTCTTCTTCGCTGTCCAAGAGGGCAGGTGCACGGGCGGGGCGCTGGTGGAGTGGCCTCGCCGTCAACTGCCATGCGTGGTCGCGCTTCTCCCCGCTCCTATGCGCGGCCACGGTCAGGCGCAGCGACTTCGTCGCCGTCCAGGAGACGCACCTCGACGCCCAGCGGACGCGCGACGCTCAAGGGCAGCTCCGCAGGCTCGGGTGGGTCTCGGAAGCAGCTTCGGCGATCAACGCTGGACCAGGGTGCCGGCCCTGGCCAGGGCAGCGGAGGGCTTGTCCAAATTTTGCCTCGCCATCTTGGGCTCGGGTCGTTCGAGCTGCTCGGCAAGCCGTTTGTGCTGGTGCCTGGGCGCGCTATCATCGCCCACTTCAGCGGAGTCTGCATTGGCGGCATTGCTTGGGTCAGCATCTACTTGGAGGTCAGCGTCGGCCTCAACAGGAGCAGCGCCGACACGCTGCACGGAGTGCCCAGGGCCACGCAAGCGGCCAACAAGCCGTTCGCGGTCTGCGGCGAGTTCAACATGGAGCCGTCTGTCTTAGCAGAGTCGGGCTGGCTAGAGGCGGCCAAAGCAGTCGTCGCGGCTCCCGCTGAGCCTACGTGCAGATCTGCGGGCCACATCATCGATTTCGTCGCTGTCTCCAGGCTCTTCCGAGAGGCCAAGGCCAGTGCGACTCGCGGGCTTGAGCTCAGCCCGCGCATTCTTGTCGCGCTCGAGCTGCTCGGGCCAGCCAAGCACCAGAGCGTCGCCGTCATGCGCTCGGCGAAGCGGTTTCCGCTGGCCAAGCTCATGGCCTGCTGCGCCAGGGATCACGCCCCAGGCTGGCCGGCAGCACGCGGCCTGCTCGAACGGACCAGTGACCTGGACAGCATGTGGCAGATATTCACCAGGCAGGCGGGGGCCAACATGGTCGACACGCGCGGGCTCATCCACGACCTTGACAGGCACTCAGGGCGAGCGGGTCGTCCCAAGATTGTGGCCACGTCAGCTGCAGCCCCGTCGCCCCCGAGGCTGCCGAGGGTCACGGGGGGCGGCGGCTCGGTGCAGGTCGATCGCCATGTGCCTTCGCGATGCGGCACAGATCGACAAGCTGCTCTCCATGAAGGGGGCCTTGAAGGAGCTCCAGCGCATGTCCAGCAAACCTCCGCCAAACCTCTCCGAGTTGCAGGACGTGGTCGGCGTCGTCGGCAGCGGAGCTCAGGACATCTCCGTGGGCCAGATCGAGATCCTGAGCACAGCCTGCTGCTCCTCCTGGTCCGAGTCCATGGTCATCGCTGACCTCGTTCAGGCGCGGCGCAACTACAACGACTGGGTGCTTCACTCGGTGGCGACAGGCTCGGGCGGCATGCATGCGGTTACCGAGTCGGCGCAAACATGGAAGGCGCGGCGACGGAAGAGGAGCCGCTGGCGGTGCAGTAGAGCCTCCGGGCCCTCGTCGACGAGTGGGCGACGCATTGGGACGTGATCGCGCCTGCCCCGAGTCAGGCAGGTGCTGCGAGAGCCCATCGGGAGTCCGAGCCGGAGCGACACCGTCTGGACTGGCCTGAGGACTCGGAGGGCGCCCCGATCGGCCATATGTGGCAGAGCAGCGAAAAGTGATCTCGTCGTTCAGGCCACAGTCTGGGCCCAACTTTGACAGCATTCGACCGGGTGAAGTCAACTTGGTGGATGACCAGGGCATTGATACTCACATAGATTTGACCATGGCCATCGCGCAGAAGGCCGCCTGGCCCAGCTTCGTCGCCACGACGGCCTTCACCCCCGAAGCTGATGGAGGACTTCGGCCCATAGCTCTGTTGGCAGCAGTGGTCAGAGTTCACGGCAGGCTGCGCAGACCTCTCATGCAGCAAAGGGAGAAAGACAAGGACAGGCCGTGCTGGCGGGCATGCTCAGGG